TCCGCAGAGGGTGCAGCAGGCGGGGCAGCAGGAGGCTGAGGGGCAGCAGCAGCAGGAGTGGCAGCAGTTGAGCTCTGAGGTGAGCCCCAGGCGCTCGCCGACACCCCCAGCAACACATACACCTGTAGGAACCGGACAAGGCCATTATTAGCAAACACCATCTGCTGTGAACTGCACGCTGCTCTCTCTCTCTCTCTCTCTCTCTCTCTCTCTCTCTCTCTCTCTCTCTCTCTCTCTCTCTCTCTCTCTCTCTCTCTCTCTCTCTCTCTCTCTCTCTCTCTCTCTCAGTGCAAAAAAATTAAACTTTTTATTAAAATTAGCATTCAATATTTTATTTTATAATTTCGCTTATGTATTGCAGTGATGTTTATTGACCTGACGTGAAAGCGTCTAATTAAGCCAGGTAGTAAATTCTCCCCCCCCCCCCCGGGCTGTGCTCGTCAAAGGTGAGGTAATTATCAGGAGGAAGCACTAAATTATTACAACTCTATAGTTGTAATAACTCTTGGACAGTCTCTTGGAAGGAATAAAGGGGACTGGGACTTGGGTTGGGACGGGAGGGAAAGGAATGGTGCCCAACCACTTGTGGAAGGTCGGGAATTGAACGCCGACCTGCATGAAGCGAGACCGTCGCTCTACCGTCCACTAAGGCCGACTTTAAATATCAGTTTGTCTGTTTTAATGCACTGCTCCCTCCCCCTTCCCCCCTCCCAAGATACATTCATCAATGATAACGTTTTGTGTATTAAAACTAGGTTTATCCTCATTTATATAATAATATATGTACTGTTCCCTAAATATACATCCTTACGTTCGAACGTTTGTCGAAAGAGTGCTTCACTCACTTCCCATGTTCGAACTGCACCTCCGTCAACCCCTCACCCACGTGTTGCAAATACAATTAATTCCCAACCGAGCCTTCAGGACCTAGCCAGGATAGACTATATTGGTTCACACTTGATGCTAGGACGCTGGACTCGTCCAAGTAGCATCCACACCTCACAGACCTCACGAACCTCGCCAAGATCATGACTACTAGCCTGCAACGCAGCTGTATGAAAGCCTGCAATGCACACAAAAAATTCAAGCCTGCAATGCAGCTGAATGCAAGCCTGCAATGCAGCTGAATACAAGCTTGCAATGCAGCTGGATACAAGCCTGCAATGTAGCTGAATACAAGCGTGCAATGCAGCTGGATACAAGCCTGCAATACAGCTGTATGCAAGTCTGCAATGCAGCTGGATACAAGCCTGCAATACAGCTGTATGCAAGTCTGCAATGCAGCTGGATACAAGCCTGCAATACAGCTGTATGCAAGTCTGCAATGCAGCTGGATACAAGCCTGCAATACAGCTGAATACAAGCTTGCAATGCAGCTTGACCCCTTGGATACAAGGGGTCAAGCCAGGCACCAGCGCGCATAACATAAGGTCAGGAATACCAATCCTTGTTGTGGTTACTCTTCGAAAACCTGTTTATAGTAGAGATCGGAATGAGATGTGTGTTTGTTTATATGTTATGCTGTCCAGTAATGCTGTAGTCAATAACTGAATATTCTGCAGTAGATCAGGCAGACAGTCTCCACCACACAGACAGTCTCCACCACACAGACAGTCTCCACCACACAGACAGTCTCCACCACACAGACAGATTCAGTCTCCACCACACAGGCAGTCTCCACCACACATTCTCCACCACACAGCCCAACAGTCTCCACCACACAGCCCAACAGTCTCCACCACACAGCCCAACAGTCTCCACCACACAGCCTAACAGTCTCCACCACACAGCCCAACAGTCTCCACCACACAGCCTAACAGTCTCCACCACACAGCCCAACAGTCTCCACCACACAGCCTAACAGTCTCCACCACACAGCCCAACAGTCTCCACCACACAGCCCAACAGTCTCCACCACACAGCCCAACAGTCTCCACCACACAGCCCAACAGTCTCCACCACACAGCCCAACAGTCTCCACCACACAGCCCAACAGTCTCCACCACACAGCCCAACAGTCTCCACCACACAGCCCAACAGTCTCCACCACACAGCCCAACAGTCTCCACCACACAGCCCAACAGTCTCCACCACACAGCCCAACAGTCTCCACCACACAGCCCAACAGTCTCCACCACACAACACAACTTCGACACAATACTCACCAAGACTTTCATGGTTCCAGCAGGTATCAGGACCGCCAAGTGCCCAAGAACATGGGCGATGCCCATTTTATGTACCAACCTTGGCCTCGCAAAAACTACCACCATGATCACCTGACCTTCGAAAACACCAAAAGTTGTCCTTGGCCGAGCAGGTTACAGCAGCAGCAGCAGCAGCTGTAGAGCTACCTAACAACACCGTTAGCCCAAGGTAATGTAGATCTGTTGGACCTTGAACTACGGTGATTCTAAAGGCCTCGATCCTAAGAAATACCTTCACACTACCTCTAATCTTGCTATGGATCTAAATGGTAATAATAATATTTTATTTGTACAAATACAGAGGGTCAGATTACAGTGGTTACTTAGTGGATACAGCGTTTGTATGTTTTGTAAAGCCACTGATTACAGCCAGCGTCTCTGGGATAAGCTAAGATAATGAGGGAATTTTACATTTTATAGGGTAAATCTTGAATTTATTCCATGTCCCAAGACCAGCATGGATTTGGAATTCATCCATGCTTGCCCTTGACATCCAAGGTAAAGGAACAGCAGGTTGTTAATTAACTTTGGCACATCAAGAGAGAGGTTGATGACTACTTAACATTAAGAAGTTCCTTGTCCTCATATCCCAGCTCCATGTCCTCATATCCCAGCTCCATGTCCTCATATCCCAGCTCCTTGTTCTCATATCCCAGCTCCATGTCCTCATATCCCAGCTCCATGTCCTCATATTCCAGCTCCTTGTCCTCATATCCCAGTTCCTTGTCCTCATATCCCAGCTCCTTGTCCTCATATCCCAGCTCCTTGTCCTCATATTCCAGCTCCTTGTCCTCATATCCCAGCTCCTTGTTCTCATATCCCAGCTCCATGTCCTCATATCCCAGCTCCATGTCCTCATATCCCAGCTCCATGTCCTCATATCCCAGCTCCATGTCCTCATATCCCAGCTCCTTGTCCTCATATCCCAGCTCCTTGTCCTCATATCCCAGCTCCTTGTCCTCATATCCCAGCTCCATGTCCTCATATTCCAGCTCCTTGTCTTCATATTCCAGCTCCTTGTCCTCATATTCCAGCTCCTTGTCCTCATATCCCAGCTCCATGTCCTCATATCCCAGCTCCTTGTCCTCATATCCCAGTTCCTTGTCCTCATATCCCAGCTCCATGTCCTCATATCCCAGCTCCTTGTCCTCATATCCCAGCTCCATGTCCTCATATTCCAGCTCCTTGTCCTGATATTCCAGTTCCTTGTCCTCATATTCCAGCTCCTTGTCCTCATATCCCAGCTCCTTGTCCTCATATCCCAGCTCCATGGCCTCATATCCCAGCTCCTTGTCCTCATATTCCAGCTCCTTGTCCTCATATCCCAGCTCCTTGTCCTCATATCCCAGCTCCTTGTCCTCATATCCCAGCTCCATGTCCTCATATCCCAGCTCCTTGTCCTCATATCCCAGCTCCATGTCCTCATATTCCAGCTCCTTGTCCTCATATTCCAGCTCCTTGTCCTCATATCCCAGCTCCTTGTCCTCATATCCCAGCTCCATGTCCTCATATCCCAGCTCCTTGTCCTCATATCCAAGCTCCTTGTCCTCATATCCCAGCTCCTTGTCCTCATATCCTAGCTCCTTGTCCTTATATCCCAGCTCCTTGTCCTCATATCCCAGCTCCATGTCCTCATATCCCAGCTCCTTGTCCTCATATCCCAGCTCCTTGTCCTCATATCCCAGCTCCTTGTCCTCATATCCCAGCTCCATGTCCTCATATCCCAGCTCCTTGTCCTCATATCCCAGCTCCTTGTCCTCATATCCAAGCTCCTTGTCCTCATATCCAAGCTCCTTGTCCTCATATCCCAGCTCCTTGTCCTCATATCCCTTCCGAGTGCTACATAGTCGTATTAGCTTAACACTTTCTCGTCCTAATCACCTAACCATCCTCTGTGAGAGCTCACACGCCCTCTCACATGTCCTGACAAGTGTTAGGACGAAGAAGAGGAGGCAGGCAGAGAGAGGAAATAGGTAGAGAAGGAGAAGAAAGAGGGAGGGAAGGGAGTGGACAGGCGCCCTAAGCATCTACAATTCAACGCTGAATCGACCACCATCAACGCCGGTCTTGGCTAGTGTGGCTATCGGGGATATAACCGCCGTTGTTGTGATGGAGCGTGTGTGTGGGGACGGTGGGTATGGTCCAGCCCAGCTGCTCGTAAGGTCTGGGCTCGAGGCCAGCAGCCAGCAGCAGCAGCTGGTCCGGGCGCTCAAGTACTCTTGGTTACTTGTCAAGAAATGTCACGCTGGGGGTCAAGGACAGGCTGGGGTCAAGGACAGGCTGGGGTCAAGGACAGGCTGCCCCAGTCATCGTGGGGTCCTTACCCTGGAAACACAAACCGAAACTGTCTCTATTTTCCGCTTGTTACAACTTGTAATAAAGTTGTGACATCTTGGCTTAACGTGTTTATGACGTATTAGAAGGTTGTTACAACTTGCTATATTGGTTGTTATAACTGGTTAGGAGGTGTTAAAACTTGTTCGAACGTTGTACCAACGTCGTAGTTTCGGTGTGTGTTTGTCGGGTATGGACGATTAAGTGCAACAAACAGTCTGGTTGATCAGGAAACATGTTGAGGTAAGGAAAATTAGAAGCATCTGCCTGCTAAGGAAAGGCAATACTGTCTACTTTATGTAGGGGAGATAGTATGTATCTTCTAGGAGGAGGTAGTGGCTTCTGTCTATTATAGAGAGTGTCATCCATTCTCTATAGGAAGAGAGTGCCATCCACTCACTATAGGTAGAGTGCCATGCACTCACTATAGGTAGAGTGCCATCCATTCTCTATAGGTAGAGTGCCATCCACACTATAGTTAGAGAGTGCCATCCACACTCTATAGTTAGAGAGTGCCATCCACTCACTATAGGTAGAGAGTGCCATCCACTCACTATAGGTAGAGAGTGCCATCCACTCACTATAGGTAGAGTGCCATCCACTCACTATAGGTAGAGTGCCATCCACTCACTATATAAGAAGACAGTTTCATCCACCACGTTTAGGGAGTCTCAATATCATGCATCTTGTATAGAATTTTGTTTTAATAATATTGCCATTTTGTTTATACAGTAAATCATTTATTGTGTAGATAAGTATAAACATTTAAGACCTCTGAAGGAAAAAAACTGGTAATCAGCTTAACTTATAATTCAGCAATTTGTGAACACTGAATTGAGGGAACATTCCTCAATTTAAAAAAAGGGAATTCATAAGTAATTTTCGTGTATGTGAGGCGAGTCAAGACGAGAGACCCGTGGCGTGGATACAGTAACTTGTGGCGAGAGGCATCTGGTATGTGCCGGAGATGAGGGATTTCTTGTAGGACTCGTCCCTCGGCTGCTGGTCATGGTGCCCCTGGCGGCGGTGGTGGTGGTGGTGGAGCCCCTGGCCTTGAGTGGTGTAGTAGAGGGGCCGGACCTCTCTCGGTACCTGAAGGTCGCAGCCACACGGCGGTCACACAGTGTCCTGACACACAAAAGGCGGGAAAAAGCCACCACCAGCGGGCTGAAGACATCGTCTGCGCTGCGAGGACTGCAGGATGACCGTCTCTTATTGTTAGAACCCTCACTGCAGCCGCTCCTGTAAGGAAGCTTATTTCAGCATCTCCTACAGGGTAGCCTGCTGCAGACTGTTCTGTAATGTAGCCTGTACTAGAAGTCTCTCTTACGAGGTAGCCTACTGCAGTCCTCTCCTGTAAGGAAGCTTACTACAGAAGACATTTATGCAAGATGTTCTTTTGCGACCTTCTTGCCTTGCAATATAGTAGTTATATTTACCTAAATTTACCTGAGAGGTGCCCGCACCATCTCCCTAATGGCCCCGATGGGGACAGCAAGCTGGCGGCTCGCCAAATGCCCTCCCTTCCTCACCATTATTCCTGAGGACTTTTTCCTCACTGGATTTTGAACTGAAGTAAACAAAAAAAATTTGATGTTGAGGGCATCATCATCGAGCGTCCGCCCGTGTTTAATTGTGTCGTTTTTTCTGCCCTGGGTATAGCAGGGATGTGGGGGTAGGCTGTGTGGCCTTGACTGGCTGGTTTTTGTGTTTTCATGGTGAATGTCAGACGTCAGGAGGAAGGGGGATGGGGCGGAGGGGAAGGGGGTTGAGGTGGTGAGAGTACGGTGCAGGTTGACACGTCGACTAGACCTCTCTCCTTCGTGAAGGCGAGCGCTCGGCTCCTGGGAATGATGACTGGCTCTCCTGAAACATAGAGTAGCCTGACACTGTGTGTCAGAGTAGCCTGACACACAGTGTCAGAGTAGCCTGACACACAGTGTCAGAGTAGCCTGACACTGTACATCAGAGTAGCCTGACACTGTGTGTCAGGGTAGCGTGACACTGTGTGTCAGAGTAGCGTGACACACAGTGTCAGAGTAGCCTGACACACAGTGTCAGAGTAGCCTGACACACAGTGTCAGAGTAGCCTGACACTGTACATCAGGGTAGCCTGACACTGTGTGTCAGAGTAGCCTGACACTGTACATCAGAGTAGCCTGACACTGTGTGTCAGAGTAGCCTGACACACAGTGTCAGAGTAGCCTGACACTGTACATCAGGGTAGCCTGACACTGTGTGTCAGGGTAGCGTGGCTTTAGAGCGTGACAGTAAGTATAGCGTCAGTTGAACATGGCAGTGAGTAACCGTCACTGAAGCCTGGCACTAACTACCGGTGATGGAGCGTGACACTGAACAGTGTCAATGACCTCTGCACGCTGGATGACTCGCCATTTCCATTTTTACCTCTGAAAGCTATATAAACGTTTCTCAAGGATGAAAAACACAAAACAAACAAAAAACTTAGACGGCTAAGGAACTAGCTGAAGTCCAATGGCTGGTGTATAGTGCTTCTTACTTGGATACATTTTCCTGTAGTGGCTGGCGTTCAGCAGTCCAAGTCGACTGTTCTGTCGTTAGTTGGCCTTCGCTCCCAAGATTAATCAAGCATTTACGAAACCTGTACATCTTCAATTGTGTTGGCTTTGAACAAAATAAACATTTGTTCAATAGTTTATGATCTGCGAAGCACAACGGGGCTGTTTATA